GTGTGTGTGTGTGTGTGTGTGTGTGTGTGTGTGTGTGTGTGTGTGCGCGTGTGTGTGCGCGCGCGCGCGCTCGTCTGTGTCTGTGTGAAATGGGTCCTGGTATCTCTTTAGTCCCTTTTAGAGCCGAGTCTCTACTCAGCACAAGATCAAGCCAGTTATAATTCCTTCACGGATAGGGTAAAGGGCTTCCAGGCCCCAGCTGTCACTGGGGAGATAGCATGAGTTCACAGCTTCTGTGGAAGAGAGAATTATTCCACTTTGAGGTTGTGGCCATTAGTAATTTGACGACACTGCTGTGGAAGGCCCTGTGCCCATGCCCTAACTGGACTTAGAAGATTATAAAAGAAAGCTTAAGATGAGAGTGAGGAGAATCATGAGGATGAGTATGGAGACACACAGGAGAAGGTATATGGGGATGAGGGGGAGGGAAAGCATGAGTATATGTGATTATATTCCATTGTGCACATGTGTGGAGTTCTCTACATTTCTCAAAAGGGAAAGGGAAATGAAGCCCCATCGTTGAGTTACACGTCAGTGGGAATGGTGCACATGTCTCATACTTACTATCCCATGAAGAAATGTGGCATGGCAGTCATAATACTCCCAAGGCCCATGATGAAACAACCAATTCCAACCAACTTCGGTCTGTGTAGTTTGGATCCAAAGTAACTCACAAATATAATAACCATCAAATTCCCTACAATGAAACCAAGTTATGTCAGTTTGATTCATCACAGCAAATACTGATGGTCACTGTATCTCATAGAATGGAAGGACCCAGACAGTATAAACAGAGAAAACACTTGGCCCTTTCCTAGGTTGACTGATGAGGGGAAACTCACCTTAATTAAACTGACCATAGAAAAGTGTAGAATTGAGAATATGAAGAGACATTCTTATTTTATTTATTTATTCCAGGTTTATTTATTTTATTTTCTAAATCATGTGTGTGTGTGAGTATGTGTGTTTGTGTGTTTGTGTACATATTAGTGCAGTGCCCACAGAGGCCGGAAGAGAATCAGATCTCTTGGAGGAAGTGTTAAAGATGGTTGTGAACCACCAGATTTGGGTGCTGGAAATCAAATTTAGGTCCTCAGGAAGAGCAGTAAGTGCTCTTAAACATTGGATAATTTCTCTGGCCCTTTGATTTTGTTTTTAGTATCAGCTTTTCATTTTTAGAACCAACCTCGATGATCATTAATACCTGAGTCACTTTAAACTAGACATCATCATATTTCTTCTAAACTGTACTCAGATTCACAGGGGACACTGAGTTCTCAGTTGCAAAAGAGAATTTACTTATTTTTGCACCAGTCCTTAGAATATGCTTTGGAAACTATAAAATATACTTGAATTGGTTGACAATACTTTTAAAGCAGATTTTTTTTTTCTTTTTGGTGAATTTAAAGTTGACTAGGTTGCACTAAGTTGAAAATAAATGGAGAAAAGTCTTCCTAATGGGAGAGAAAAGCATTACCTAATGCAGTTTTCATACATTCCTGGCATTCTTTAAAGTCCTAATATGTGCCTGTCAAAAGTATCATAAAAGAATAAACCACAAATAAGGTTACAAACAAATGATAAAAAACACATTAAGAATGAAAACAGAGCTGGGCATTGGTGATGCACACCTTTAATCCCAGCACTGGGGAGGCAGAGGCAGGAGGATCTCTGTGAGTTTGAGACCAGCCTGGTCTACAGAGTGAGTGCCAGGATAGGCTCCAAAGCCATGGAGAAACCCTGTCTCAAAAAACCAAAAGAACAAACAAAACAAAAAAAATGAAAACAGGTTGGTGGGCAGAGCTGGGGGAGGAAGAAGTCAGTTAATTAAGAGCTTTAGGAACACACCTTTAATCCTAGCACTCAGGGTTGGGGTGGGGGGCAGCAGAGGCAGTCAGATAGGAGTTTGAGGCCAACATTGTCTACAGAGTGAGTTCCAGGAAAGTCTCTAAAGCTACACAGAGAAACCCTGTCTCTGGGGAAAAAAAATAAGAAGAAACTTTAGTAAAATTGCCAAGAGCAAAGAAAGACTATTTGAAATGTCATATTGATTATAAATTATCTAGGTTGACATTGGAAAATGGAGAACTCCAAATGGGAGACAATTTTAATCTAGCTGGAGTTATATATAAACAGTAAACAAATAGCATGCGTTACTGAATGTTTGGTAGAAAAAAAAAGATACAACACAAAATTACAAAAAAGAACCAGCAAAAAATACATGAAATAAAGAAGAATTAACTGGAAAAAGGAGACTCTGTGAAAACATAGTATCCTTACAAGTGTAATATTATTGATTCAGAAGATCAAAAGTGGCAAACTAAGAAGAAAAATAAACTATTGTAAAGTTAAAAATAGAAAAATGTATAAACTTTAATTATATAAAATGGAAGACAACAGAAGATAGAATAGGAAACAACCAGGAGAGGAGACCTACAGAGCCACTTAAGGGTGTTGATGACAGGAACTTACAGAGTGAGGCCACCTGCCTAGTGTTGGGCTTTCAGTACCCACAGCTGAGAACAACAAGCTATAAACTAAGCATTTAGAGCTACAAATATATATGTTGTTTTGAGGTTTCAGCAATGATTGCTTAATTCTCAAGTCTCAGAGCAGCAAGCCTCTAGCTTTTAAAATCTGGAGCCACACACCTGTGGAAACAGATTTCCAACTAATGTGGGCTCTTTTAGTTTTTACTGGTCAGAAATATAACAAAGAAAAAAACCAAAGATGACATTTTGGAATCACAGATTCAAGAATCTTGTGGGTGAAGAAGCATGTGTAAGGAAAATTGAAAATCAATATCATTCTAATTGTGAAACTGTAGCTGCTTCCATGGAGACAGTGAAGTGGGGGCTGGAGATATGGCTGGCTTCCTGAGAGCACTGGCTGCTCTGGCAGAGGGCCTGTGTTTGGTTTCCAGTAGCCATGCTGAACAGCTCATGAGTGCCTGTAACTCCAACTCCAGAAAATCACAGTCCACCTTCCAGCCTCTGAGAACTTCTTCACAAATGTGAGTATATATACACGGACACACACATAGACAGGTTTGGTTCTTTTAAGAAACTGTGAAATGGAATACTGAAAGATAACATACTATACAATATATACTTTGCATCCCAAAACTTCATAATCTGTGAGGAAAAGCAAATCGGTCTTCCTTTATGCAATTTCTTTTAAAACACTGTTAAATATGTCCTATTTCAAGTTTTTAAAAAATGACCATAAATTTTTTAGGAAATATTTGAAATCCATATAATAGACGTAGCTGTGAAGCTCCCTCAAAAATTAAAGAGCTAGAAAAAAAATACTCAGCTGTTAAAAACAATGACATCAGGACATTTGAAGATGAATGGATGGATCTAGAAAAAAAAATCACCCTGATTAAGGTAACCCAGACCCAGAAAGACAAACATGGTACATATTCACTGATAAGTGGATATTAGCTGTAGAGTAAAGGAGAACCATGCTACAATCCACAGCCCCAGAGAGAGTAGATAACAAAGAGGGCCCAAAGAGGGATGAATGGATTTCCCTGGGGAAGGAAAATAAAAGAGATCACCTGAGTAAACTGAGGGTTGGTAGGGATAAGAACCTGAGGGATCAGGTTGGTGATGAGTAAAGGGGAAGATTAACGAAATAGATGTCTTGATGGGGAACATTTCGGTGTCAGGTAGAAACCTGGTACAAGGGAGACTCATGATCTACAAGGATGACCCCAGTTAATACTCTTAGCAATCATGGATATATAGCTTGTTCTGTCCATCCCCTGTAATCAGATTGTTGACTACCTAATTGTCATCAAAGAGCCTTCGTCCAGTAACCGATGCAGGTGCTGATGCCCACAGCCAAGCACTAGGCCAAACTCGGGGAATCTGTTGAAGGTGGGAAGAAGGATTATACAAGCCAGGAGGTGAAGGTCATCACAAGAGAACCCCCAGAGACAACTAGCCTGGGATCATAGGAGCTCACAGACACTGGATTGACAGCTAAGGGGACTGCATGGGACCCACCTAAGCCCTCTGCATTTGTGTGACAGTATATAGCTTGGTCAACTTGTGGGACTCCTAGCAGTCAGAGCTGGCTTTTGGGAACCAATTCCTCATACTGGGTTGTGCTAACAAACCTTAATATAAGGGGAGGAGCTTAGTTCTACTTCAACTTGATATTCTATGCTTTGTTGACACGGGAGAACTGTGCCTTTCTGAACAGAAGCATAGGAGGAATGTATTTGAGAAAGGGTGCAGAGGGCAGGTGGGGGAATGTGAGGAGATGAGGAAGGAAAAACGGATTGGGATGTAAAATAAATTAATATATTTAACTAATAAAAGAAAAGGAACAGAGGCATTTAGTTTATGCTACTTCCTAAGAGAAGAATCCCTTTGGGTAATTGCATGGAGCTTGGGTGTCTTGGAAGAAGACAACAGAGTAACATCTTCAAGGCTGTAAAGCCACCCTCCTCAACAGTTAAAGAGCAAAACTGCAACACATCATTCCCAAGATGTTCTTTGGTCCTTAAATCAGGTACTATAGCTCTCTCAACTTTTCTTCATATATGGTCCTCTTGAGAGAGGGATGGTGCAGTCTCATAAGAGTTAGTGTGAAAGCAATGGGTTTGTGTAAAATCATTCTTCAAAAATCCTCTTTTCATAGTGGTTATCAATCACTTTGTACCTTATTTAGTGATATCACTGATTTAACTCCTACACATCAGTGGCACTGCTTCCCAAGAAATGACAACAAAAAGCAATCCAGATATTGCTATATTTTACAAAAAGGCTAGAGATATCCATGGTTAAGAAACGGGTATAGAACATGTCCGAACCATATTTTTCCTCTATAAGTCTGGTTAGTAAAATAGAAATAAACATTACCAATTTCAAATCCTCCATCAATCAAACCAGCTAAGGAAGACGAGATGTCAAATCTCCTTTCTATTTGCGTGATGGAACTTTTCATTAGGACTCCAGCTAATGCCTTGCTTATATAGGCGAATGAGAGGGCTGCCAAAAACATCTAAGGAAAAACAAAAGGGGGAGGTAAATCAAATGAGTACATAGGTCTCAATTAAAATACAGTTTAGGGGTTTGTTTTTAATTGAAGACAGTATTTCAGTCTTTCCCTGGTAGCAGTTGGTATTCTCTTAGCTCTTTTAATATCATCATCACACAGGTAAAGCGTAACTTTCCAACTTGGTTATAATTATAGCAGTAAAATCAGCACTGTTAGCTCATAAACCAATTTCTAATCTCTGTTGGTCAATTATGATAATTATGTAATCACTTTAGCCTAATCTTTGTTTTGGCAGATGCCAAATCTAGGGATTGACAGACTGTTTTCAAGGGCAGTATTTTGGGGAAAGAAAGCCAAGGACAGACATCAGGTAAGAAGGAAGTATTAGGGAAAGTTATTTTATGCAGCTAAAGACCTGAAGAATGCAGAGGAGGCCATCCATCCAACAAAAGCTATCTCAACATGCAAAAAAAAAAAAAAAAGAAAGAAAAAGAAAAAGAAAAAGAAAAACCAAAACAGCATGACCAGTGCACCATGGAGTTGCAATAGTTGCAATACATATGTAGTTGGCATTAAAACTCCCAAGCCCACAAAGTGAAGGGTGTTAGAACAGAGAGGAAAATAGCAGCAGAGTAGCATCAGTTCATTCCTGCCATAGGCTGACCTAGCAGAAGGAAAGTGAGTGAAGAAACAGAGCAGTTGTTTAGCACTTCGGAGATCAGAGCCAGCAGAGGACTAGAGAACGCTCCCATGAGTGACAACAACATAATCTCCAAAATAAAGCCAGTCATGTCACATAACATGACTTTACAACCCCACTACACACACACACACACACACACACACACACACACACACACGGGTGGGATTTGAATGTAATTCCTGAGAAATTGCCAACATTTTTTGCATGTGTGAAACAGGTTCTCACGCAGGCCTGGAGTTCATCAGTATTCTAGAAAGGTTGGCAAGGCTCCAGGATTAGGAGAGCACACCTCCACACTGTTCTCTTCACATGAGTTCTGGAGTTCAAACACGTGTCTCATGCTTGCAAGGAGAAGTGCTTTACTGACTGGGTTATCTCCTAGCTAAAATCAATTTTTAAAAGATTTAAAAAATGAATTATGTTCCCTACCATGATGAATTAAAAAGACAGCAGAATAAACACAAAAATACATACATACATACATACATACATACATACATACATACATACATACATACATATCTTAAACCACACATTCTTGAATAACCAATGGATAATGAAGAAATTTCAGAAAATTTTAGAAAATCATGGAAGTAAAAAAAAATTTCAGAATTAATGGGCTGCAGTGAAAATAAGAAAAAAGGAAAGTGGAGTGTGTTTGGGGACTGTTACTCAAAAGAATGAAGGTTTCAAACAACATAATTCCTCCCCCACAATGGTCTAGGAAAAGAAGAATCAACAAAATCTAAAATTATAAAAATGAAGGAAAGAGTAAAAAAGAGACAGATTAAATATCTAAAATTAGAAATGAAGGAGGAAACATATAACATATGACTTAAACATAAAATATTGTAAAAGATACTATGCAAGATTATATGGCAACAAATTGAAATAAATCTCTAGAGGCACACAGTCTACAAGGCAGACACAATACTCAGTGGCAAGTCTGAGCACACATGTAACGAGTGGAGAGTGGAGCCAAAACAAGAAGACCTCCCAAGAAGAGCTGGGACCAAATGGCTTTACTGAGAATTCTAGCAAATAGTTACAAGTGAATTAAACAGCATTGCCAAACTCTCTCAAAGAAATGAAGTTAAAGTGTCCCAGGCTCAGTAAATATATTTATGAAGTTGTTAAAGAATAAAATAACAAAACCTGACTGGAGAGATGGTGGAGTGGTTAAGTGTACTTTGTCTTGCAGAGGAACAAAGGGGACACTTGCATAGATTTTGTATCACTTCTTCACAGATATAAATTTATTTAATTCTCATATCTTTTGACAATCTCTCTTCCTTCCCTCCTTCCTTTCTTTCTTTCATTTTCCTTTCTTTCATTTTCCTTTCTTTCTTACCTGAAATGGGATCACACTACATTGCCTCAAATTCCTTGGTTCCAGTAATTCGCTAGTATCAGCCTTTGAAAGGGGGACCATGTACTTGAACCACAATGACCAGCTCTATTTCTCCTACTTTAAAATAATACTGTGTATGCCTTAGTTTTTAGCATTCTTCATTATTGTAAATAAAGAATTATCTACTAGACTTATCAGTGGAAACAAACTGTTTTCTTCATAAACAATACTTTGAATCAATTTCTGAATTCATGTGTGGCTGTACAATTATTGGCCCTCCCACTGATACAGACACGTGTATGTACACCTCTTTAAAGTATAATCTCCAATTTCCTTTTCTTCTTTCTGTCTACCATCTCCTCTACCATGTCCCAGATTGCTTTCCATGAGTTAAGGTGATAATGGTTCCTCCAAATTATTCTCAATATTTCACAATCTTTATTAGCATCTACTCGTACAGGTTTGTGTTCATGCTGCTTGTTCATCCATCCACTCTAGTAGAGTTTAACAGAACATGGCAGCTTGGATTCCAATTGTAAAATAACAGACTTTTCAAAATAATTAACATTGGATGGGGAGGTTACTCAAAAGAGCACTCAATGTTCTTCCTAATGACTGCCGTTTGATTCCCAAGATGCATCTGCTTACAATCTTCAGGAACTCCACTTCTAGGGGATCTTATGCCCTCTTCTGGCCCTCCCGGGTACCTGCAGGCACATGAGGCTCGCAGTACACTAAGACATACAAACACATGCACATTAAGTTAATAAATAAATAAAATTTATTTAAATGTGTATTGTGCTCTTCTCTCTAGAAAATACAGGACTTAAGCTCAGGGGAAGGATAATATATAGTATCATTCTCAGGACTAAACAAAAAATGTATTTCTAATGTGTTTTAATGACTTGTATGTTTCTCCCATATCTCTCCAAGAAGTAATAATCATATCAATTTTAAAGGTTCGATCTTTCCCTACCCTCATCTTTTAATTTTTTTATAGTTGAAATCTCTGTTATTAGTTCATTAGCATAAAACACAATTGTTCTACTAATTTAGCCAAACCCATTTCTATGCAAGATACTACAAAAGGCATCTACACTAATAATACACGATTAGTGTATGACTAGGATAATTTGTTGATTATGAGAGAAACACAGAACATTCTCATCTAAACCCTAACTATGAGAGCTTCTGATTTGATGAAAACAGCAGAAATACTTCCAGGAATCCAGGGATACCTTAGAGATGCTGACAGAGGGCAAGCATGGGTTAAGTCTTGGTCCAAAAGTTCAGAGAATGGTTTTATGTTGTTTATGATTTCAATCTTAAAAGAAACATTCAACACCATGAATCTCACAGTAAAACCCCAAATTAGTTTTATAAGAAGAAATAGGTAGCAGACATAAACCTACCAGGCACAGGGGGACCCAATGCCCGTGATATTGTGAGTGTACAGGGTATTTCATATAGATAGCGAATTTCTTTGGATTGATGATATATGCATACTCTTGGGATCACTGTATTATTCTGAAATAGTCACTCTAGCCTTGTTCTTAATATGGAGTTTCAGTTTAGACAAAGAATGATGGAAGTTCACAAAGTGTCAAAGAAGAGACTTGAAGCCTCTAAA